GATATTGCTATGCAAGGCAGGAGCAGTTGGAGCCACCTACGATTGAAAAGCTGTTCATCGACATGTGCACAGGCTCCCGATTGCAGGTGACTTAGAAGATTGAGCCGGCCTGAACCGATTCCTCGATGAGCTGCAGCGTGCACTGCACTTAGGTTTGGAGCGCCTTTTGGGGCCCATGGCTGGGGCAGTCTTGGGCCATCGAGCCAGCTTTGACCGGGAGCTGATCGGCAGATCTTCGTTCGTGTAGGAATTTATTGGGGAGCCCACCCGCCTATGTGCCAAGGATCTCCCAAGAGGTCAGCGGCGACTTGCAGCGCGAGGTCGCGCGGCGGCGTGCGGAGTTGAACCGGGCGCGCTGGTCGCAGGCCAGTCTGGACGGAGGACAGGCTCTCTTTCGCTTACGGTTCTGGGCTGGACAGGACAAGGGCAAGCTTGCGGTCCGGCAGCCGCTACCGACAGCCAGCGACAGGCAACTGACCTTCAACGCAGAGGCTCTGCGCTTGCGTTCCAGATCTGCATCTGCAGATGATGCAGACACTGAGATCTCGCTCCAGGCTCTACGGAGCATTCTGGACCACATCGGCGCCCACACGAGCAAAATGCTGCTCGGCCGAGCTGCCGGCGAGAGCTCGGCTCGACAGCTTCTGAACCCCTAAAGGCCCTAAATGGTCGCAGGCTCCACATGGCCGAGGAGATCGGGTCGGACTCTGAGGACCGGGTAGGAACGACGCTCCAAGAAGATGTCTGCAGTTTCGGCTGTCGCGCTGTCGCTCAAGTCGCAGGACAACTCCGCACTCGGTTCATGCGTCTCCTCGGTCGTGCCGCTGCCAGCGACCGGAACTCAGAGCATGAAGAGAATCACTGGAGTCAGAGCCATTGGGTTTTGGCTTGAGGCTCGGACCCATAAAGGTGTCCCAATCTCAGATCCTCACGAGTCAGAGCTCCCACGATGCAAATGGAGCTTCGAGAGATGTCAAGACCACCAAGGCCAGATAGCGGTGACAGAGACAAAGGTGCGCTGCGAACGCACAGCCGACACGATTCGCTTCTGAGAGTTGCCCCGCAGGCGAGGCCGATGATACCAGCGAGGCGCGGCGCATGCACTGGCAGTAGATCGGAGGCAGAGGATGTTGCCTGGTTGCCTCTTGCTTCAGTCACGCTCCTCCTCGAGCTTGTCATCGCAAACGGCAAGTTCCCTGTCACAGCAGTCGCCAGCGCCTCTGATGTCAAGTTGTTGCTGGCGACCGCCCCATCGAGCTCAGGCAATCGCTTTTACTCAACCCTGCGCTGGCTCTGGGCCCGCCGCCGAGTATCGCCCTGGTTCTGCCGCACCAAGACGGTATCTCGAGTCTGACGCTATGTCACATGTCTAAGAAGGAAACGGAGGACATCAGCGGAGCTGCTAAACACGACTGGCACTTGAGCCCAGAAGCTTCAGAGTTCCCAAACGGAGGTCAGCGGAGGAGGAGTTCAGTTGCTGAGGAGCAGGAGGCGAACCTGCAAAAGAGCGTTAAGGGAAAGCCTTTTGTCTGCCCACAGCCCACATGGATGCCCATTTTCGCCCTGAAGGAAGTTGATATCGAAGAGAACCCGCCTGCACGCCGACGAGCCAGTGCTACCCCCAGGGCCGAGCGTCTTGAAATGCCTCTTCGACCATGGCGCCGTCACTAGGCTTACACTGGTCAGAGCTGCGGCAATCGGCGAAGATCATGTGGCGCTCGCTTGTGGAAGTCTTGCCTCTGCTGTCCGTGCAGCGCGATGCCAGGCTCATGGCCAGTCGAATCCGAAAAGTGAGCCGGATTGCCGCAGCATTCGCCGTGCCCAAGACAGTGCCCGAGGAGGTGCGAGCGTCAGAGCTTTAAAGGTTTGAGAGCCCGCATAGTTCTTGAAGTTCTTTATCTTTGAAGGTCATCCCAGACGTGGACCTTGAGACAGGTGCGCAAGCTGGCGAGGCAGACGGTTCGTGTGCCGCGTGACACATTGGAGAGCGGCCGTTGAGCTTCGTTTAACGACCCGGTCTGCCATTCGCATAACGAAGCCGCAGCGCCATTTCGCACAATGCTCGTAGCTGTGCCAGGAGCAAGGAAGCGCTGGCATTGCATCATTCCCCGTCGAGGAGGATGCTGCAGAGGCCACCGCTTCTGACTTTACTGTCTTTAGATTGATAGCAGTCCGTGAGAATCCTGTCGTCAAAGGTGGCCACTGCGGTTCATTTCTCGGAAGACACGCAAGATCCCCAACGCACAGATAAGCGCCGGGCGCTGAGCTGTGCCGAGAAGGACCGAGTCAGAGCTGAGCAGCTGTTTTTTGAGGCCAACTGTGGCGTCCGCCCACACCGCATCCAATTCAATCGGCAGAGGCACGATGACCCCACATCGCTCAGGGCACTCGAGGGTCTTTAGTTGCCGGTGCCATTTTTTCGTAGCTCTCGCTGTATCCATTCCAGTTCTTAAATTGCAAGGCACCAACACCCAGTGCATCTGCAGCATTGTTTCAGTGATTCCTAGTCTCAGGCTCTTTGTGGACATGCTGTAGGCAGGGCGACACGACCTGGAAATTTGGGCAGGGAGAAAATGGCGGCTTCCATGGTGCTCTCAGCTTGGTCGACATTTTCAAAATGGTGGGCGGATACTACCGACAGGGTTGTGCTATCTAGCCCGTTTATGCGCCGCAAGCAGCTTCGCTGGATGCTCTCGATCTTGAACATTTGGATTCTTTTCGACTTTAGCTTGGGGGTCCAATGGCACCTCGGGAGAACAGTCCTCCTCACTGCGTGGGCCGTGCAGTTCTGTATCGCACTGGTAAGCCTTTTGGGAGTTCTGGCCCCGGAGTGCTTTCAACAGTATGTAGTCGCTCTGGAGATCGGGACCGCTGCCTGCTTCTCCGTCATGTTCGTTCGTCTGTGCCTTTCAGAGCTAGTCAACTTCTACACTGGCATCGCTTGGCAGCAATACACAGTGGCAATGATGGTGCTCAAGATGCATCCTGCCGCCATAGTAACAACGTCTCTCGGATATTTATATATTTGGGCTCGGCCCAAAACCATCAAGCTGGAGTTCTATGGTCCGTTGGACAGCTGCACGAGGCGGCTGCTGCTTTTCGATATTTTCCAGATGCTCATCAGTGCTTGGTATTGTGTCGACTTCACCAACAAAGTGATTGCCGTCAGAGACGGAACTATGTTTGATAACGAGCTCGTTGATGTAACTGGCGACGCGAACGGACTTCTGTCTTCCAGCCGCGGTTTCCCTTTTTGGAGACGAGCCTTCCATTGGTATCAGAGATCGGTTCATGCAGCCTTCACCAGCTCGTCCATATGGCAGAGGCATCCCTTTTTTCCATGGGTCTGTGCGGCCACCATCCTGGGCAACCACTTGGTAATTCTGGAGCTGGTCTTTCAATCAGTTGATCCAAGTGCACAGTGGCGAATTGGGCCTGATCCTAAGATGTGCACGAAGGGGCAACTGATCCACTATTACTCGCTGTTGCTCCTGGGCACTTTGCTGCTAAGCTGCGTCTTGACGCTCATCTTCAGAGGACTGAGCCGCCATGTGCTCTCACGGGACCTGCATCTGACCGCCTTGATTATGATGCCTTGCTTCATGAATCTTGTTCTGCTGGACTTTCCTCGATCCTACGCATGTCCTTATAGTCGGATGGAGTTGGACCGGTTGGCTACACCCACCCTCCACCTCGCCATGCTCCAGGCCATCTTCGTAATGACTCTGTCGAAAGTACATTCCGTCGTTGCCATCGGAACATCGTTTGTGCTTGCAATCCTGACTGCCTCGTACGCAGGCGCAATGGTTCGAGGATATTCAGGAGATTCGGTGTTTTTATTTGTCATAGTAGGATTCCAGATCCTTGTGCACATTGCAGACCATTGGGACTCGGTATCGGCTGTTTGGGCATCACTGGAGCGAACGCAGGCAAATGCAGCAGGCGTGTTGCGCTGCCGAGAGTGGCAGCGAGATGCTTCTGTAGATGTAGAGCTCAGGAGCTTTCGTGACCCTCCTGCTGCAGCTTAGGGCAGAAAAAGCGTAACAGTATCAGATAGAGCTGGGATCACCAAACTCGCTGGGTTGAGTGTTTCGGTTTCGTGTCCGGAAGGGATCAAGAGCAGATTCGTCTGCTTGTGTTTACCCAATCTTCATTCCGTTCTGGCTTGGAGAGAAGGGCCAAGCCGACCAGGGAGCTCTTTCCTTCGTCGGAAACCAGAAGTTTTGGTCGGAAGTAGTAGCTCCCAGTCTGGGAACTGTAGCAGACCCTTTCCCTTCCGGTTCTGCCGGGCAAGCGGAGGCGGCGCGGCGAACGAACCCGGCACTGCAACGTGCGTTCCAGGAGAGCCTGGAGGCGCCCCAGGATCCCTCCTAGCTTTGCGGCCTGGGACTAACGGCTGCTCGTAGCGACTCTAACACTTGCCTGGAGGCGCCGAGACAGCGTGTCCTCAAGTTCGACTGGCTAGGCCTGAGGACTTGGGGGACCTCGGGGGCCTGGGAGTGGCCAGGGGATGAGAGCTCGGTGTTGTGACAGCCCGCGCATTGCGCTGTGCACAGGCTGGGAAGAGCCGAAGAAGCTCTTTGAAACGGATTTGAGGGCAGGGGCCGCTTGAAGAGGTTCAGGGATGCAGAGTTTGAGGAGGTTTGAACACCTTGGCTTGGTTTAGGTTTTTAGACGATGTACATACGAGCAGCCAGCTGCGTTGCATCTGCTCCTTGCAGAGCTTGCCAAGTTTTCAGTGCAATGGCATAATGGTATCAGAGGGCTAAGAAGGGCAAGTAATGGTAGCTTGTCTTTGCACTGTTCCGCATTGAGCACGAGAAAGAAAAAGAAGGACTCAAGGATGTGCTTGAAAGCCTGGAGTCTGCGCACTGGCCAGTTCACCCACGTGTCAAAACGGCACGCAGTAGAGCTTTTGCTGAACTCCAGCGAAAGTGAATGCAAACGCAGAGAAAGACGCTTTGACTGCTTTGATCCGGCCCGGAAGCATAGCTCGCCAGGCCATGGAGCAGCAGACCATTTCGGTGGCGAAGCCTGGGCTCACCTGTCGTTTGAGGCTCCTACTGTAAGGCTCTTGGAGCGGGGACAGGAGCGGACTCTGCGGACTCATTGCAGGGCCCGTTGCAGCGTCGTTGCGGCACAGAGCTGGGCGGATCCTGACGGAGCTTCTTTGATTCAGGCAAGGAGTCTCCAAGTCACAAGTCGAGTCTTTCGCTTCGCTCCTTTCTGCAGGTCACCGGGCTCCCGGCTCCGCTGCTCAGCCGCTTCGACCTGATCCTCGGGCTCCGAGGCGGTTGCGGGTTGGGTCGCCCTGTGGTGTAATGTGGCACAATGTCATGTCCATGTGTAGTCATTGTGTAGTCTCTGTGTAGTCTTGGTGTCTTCGGACATGTCTCAGTTCTCGAGGAGCCAGGACGAGAGATGAGGAGCTTGCGGAGGCCATCCTGGGAGCAGGCAGCGCGGCAGCAGGGGCTAGTGAGGGCCTCAAGCCAGCCCAGTCTTCCGCGCTCTTCTTGGCGGAGGTGACCCTACGGCCGTTGGCCAGGCCTTGCGTTTCCAGACCTTGAAGGACCACGAGAGAGTTTTCTCTGCGCCGAGACTTGTGCCGGTTTGCACGAGGACTTCGTTGCCGCCGCTCAAGAATGCGTGCTTCGGGATTCGCCGGACGGGGCACGGGCATCCGGTTTCGGAAGTGCACCCTCACCAAGTAGACGGCCCGTCATCTGGGAAGGATGACAGTGCTCGCAAAGTCTTGGAGACTTACTACCAGAAGCTTCGAGGATGGGCAGAGAAAGCCAGTCTGATGTGCAACGCAAGCCTGCGCTTGGCGATCGCAGGGTAGGCGTACAAGGAAAGAGTTCAGCAACGCAGAGCCCGAGCCATCACAGAGCGGTTGAAGCGAGAAGCCAGGACCCGGCCTCGGGCGCTCGTCGGGGGAGGTCAGCGTGCTTCAGCGGCACTTTCCGGGCGGCTTCAGAGAATGAGAGCTACAGTCGCACTTGCTGCTCCCAAGGTGACTGCTCGAAGCCTCGAAAGCTTGATCCGCCTGTCCCGCGTCCAAGTCTGAGTGTTGTCAACTACCTGGAATAAAGCTCCTGCCATTTCTCGATCAGGCACATGCGCGCTTGATGCGGCGACACGGCCATGCCGACTTGATATTTCGGAAGGGCGCGATGTGTGCTTGTGGATGGCAGGTTCCGTGCAGCTGCAGGATGCTGTCGCTGTGGTCTTCTTGCATCAGGTGCGAGTGGGCCGTACTGTGCGCCTTCCATCGCCTTCCAGCATGGCTACAAGACAGTGGCGGCTCGACAGGTGTGTTGGAGGAGCCACTCTCCAGATTCCAGCCAGGCCACGGCCGCCACGGCAGACTACAGGGAAAAAAGCACCAGCAGAAACAAGCGGCGCCCATCAGAGTCAGGTTCTTCTTTCGGAGAACAGCTTTGGACCGAACCTCAGTCGTGGAGTTTTTGGACCATGGCTCTGAGCTAAACTGTGGCGATAGACCTCATGGTTCAGAGCCATTTTGGTTCAAGTATGTCGGCTTGCTTCGAGTGCTCACCGGATTTTCCAAACATGAGCAGCTCTGGCAGCTCTCAAGGATTGCGGGAAGTCCTAGTAGAGAGCCAGGTGGTGAATGATTGGGCTACAGGGGCGATTCAAGCAGCGACGAAGGGCGAGAGCGATGCAGATGGAGCACAGAAACTGCTGGAGACGCTTCAGCAGTACCAAAAGGCGAGATCGGAGAGTAAGCAGGATACTACAATCCAACACACTTCCGAGATCATCAAGCGGCAGCTCGGCACCATGTCGGCTTTGAAGAATGAGATCGAGGAGCTGCAGATGAAGAAGAAGGAAGTCCAGAATGAGATAGAAGTCTTGGAGAAGAAGCGCGAGTCTTCAAAGCAGGGAAAAGAGAACCAAGTTCCTGCTCAGGAGAACCCAGCTCCTGCCAAGCGATCCCGACTGACGACCCAGAAGCCTCCTCGTCGGGTCTCGGTGTGTGAGGCAGAGGAAACTTTTGCGCTCATCAAGACGCGTTCCTGGCTCATATGGCTGTTGGGGAATGCCGCTATCTCCGTCGATTTACTGTGCTCTGAAAGATCAAAGTCGGGCGATAACGATTCATGAGCGCATGAGCACGATGCTCCATGCGCCTGCTGTTCCATTCCCCTGCGCACATGTACAGTGTTATAGCACCACTCAAGGACAGGAGAGGTTCCACGGTCAAGAATTCCTGCTGATACCGATGAAGGCGTCGAAGGAGGCAATTCGACCGAGACCTGCCGAGTTTGTAGTAGGCCACACCGCTACAGTCCACGAGCTTGAGCACATGCACTGAGAACCATGTGCTCCAGCTCATGGCACTGGCTTCTGCGTCCAACCGTGCCAGGGTGAGTGTGCACATGCCGCGATCTGTAAGAGGTGTGTGCAGCATGGTGAGTCGCTGCTCGAGCCTCATCAACTTCTCTTCCAAAGTCGCTCCCTGGCGTGCGGACCCACCGCGGTGTGGTAAACTTGCTGTTCGGAGTCCATAGCAGTGCCGGCTTGGATTGGCCTGGCACAGGGGAATAGCAGCTTCACGCAGTGAGCCTCCCCGTTCTCTCCTAAACACCAAAACTCGAAAGTGGAGATGCCCGGCCTCTCCACTGGGAAGGCCGGGCCTCTCCGGTCGGAAGGCACGGCCCTCCGGCCGGAGAGGGCCGACCTTTCCACTGGAAACGTCGGGTCTTTACACCCGAGCCTCTCCAGCAGAAAGGCCCGCCCTTTGAGCTGGAGCACATGGTTCTCAGTGCATATGCTCAAGCTCGTGGACTGTAGCGGGGTCGCCTACTACAAACTCGGCAGGTCTCGGTCGAATTGCCTCCTTCGACGCCTTCATCGGTATCAGCAGGAATTCTTGACCGTGGAACCTCTCCTGTCCTTGAGTGGTGCTATAGCACTGTACATGTGCGCAGGGGAATGGCACAGCAAACGCATGGAGCATCGTGCTCGTGTGCTCATGACTCGCTATCGCCCGTCTTTGATCTTTCACGCGGAGCACAGTAAATGGACGGTGATTCATTATGAAGAAGCGCTTCCTCTGCGTCAGGCTCTGCTGGAAGAGTGAGCGAGCATGACGAGAGAGACTTTCCTGACAGAGGCCCAGAAAAACACATTCTTCACAAACGTTTTTGGCAACGAAGAGCCTGCTCACCTTAGTGAGGACGCGGACCCTGAGGACACCACCGACTGTGGTGAGTGAATCCTCATGTACAGCTGCCTGGACGTGTACTCCAACGAGACAAGGGTGTAGGCACTGCCACAAAGACGGACTCTGCAAAAGGAAGCAAAACGAGTTGTCTTGTGTTCTTTTTCAATCGAATCTTGGGCATGTTTAAGGAAGTTGCATGTTGGATAAGTGCGCCCCTAAGGTGGACCGCTCTGCCCGGCACACATCCGGCGCTTGAGCCACAGCTGCAAGGCTGCTCCTGTGGCAGCTTCCCTCTGAGGGGAGCCCTTGAGTTCCAAACGTCGAGACCTAGGCTTAGATATGGGCAGTGACATCACCTCTGGCACCGATTATGAGGCAACGACGGGGCAGGCTTTTGGGACAGTCTGGATTGCTAGCTCTAGCTGCAATCCCGGCGGATTTCTGTTTAACAGCTACGAGTGCTGAGCATAGTACGTTTGCCAGACTAGACCACGGGTGCCTGCATGCCACAGCATACTTTCAGATTTGCTCTCAGGTGGTCGAAGGTGCTGTCTTGTGGAGTCTTGGCCTCGAGAAGGACTGGGGCAGAACTGTAACGCAGCCATTGCAGCAATTCTGCAATGCTTCCACGAAGAGCGGCAAGTGCACGGCGTGGCGGTGCCTGCAGGCATGTTGCTCCGATGCCCAGCGTGGTTTTCCGAAGTTTGCCAGGGTACGGCAAAACTTGTGCATTACTCCCATGCTAACTCTTCCAAGCATTAGGCAACATTCATTAGTCAGCGCACATCCTGTCTTGGTCTCCTGCCATGGCCGCCACTGGCGGCGCCCCACTTGCACAATATCATTACGGGCAACGAGGAAGTTCAAATTTGCTCTGGCTCTGTTTTCTGTGGATTTCTCTCTGGTCCGGAACTGTTTCGTTTCCGCATGTGCGAAAGACACGCTCAAGGCGATCCGTCGCCGTCCGATGTGCAAGCCGCTGCCGGGGCACTAGCTGCTCATGCGCTGGAGCAGAATGCTGAGGTCCAACGTAGCCCACTGGACATGCTGAGCTTCGCGTTGCTTCGAGCGGTGTTCAGGAGTCGGATGACTACCTCCAAGCGGCTCAGACCCTGGCGCGACATTTAGCGGCCGAGCCAGATGCTTCGGATCTGGTGGCGGCGGCGCTGTTGAGGCAGGCCTTGGGAACAGAGGTGGTGAACCCAGAGCCTCGACTTCCATGTGCCAGCTCCCTTTCGTGCCTCTGGTTCATCAGCCCGCCACATGCCGCTGCTTCAGGACACAGACCTCAACGCCGTGTCAGCCGCCCTGGGCACCCACATGGCTGAAGCGTGCAGCAGCTCGGAACACCTGGAAACCCTCGCATCAGCTTTGGCGCAACACCTCCTCAAGCAGGAAGCCACCTGGCGCATTTGCGGGTGAAGCAATACGACCTTGTAGTAACGGCTGCTGCATGTGGTGCCCAGGTGGAAGTACCTGTTGAGGGATTGGCCGACGTGGTCGCGAAGGCGCGAGCCCGAAGCTACGTTTATGTGTTGCAAGACCGACTTGGTGAATGACTGTGCGTGTGAATCCATGATGTGTCTGCGTCGTTCAAGACGAAGGCCTTGCTGACGCATGCCGCGCTGCACTGTGCTGGTGATCAGCCAGAAGAAACGGGCTTTTCCATGGAAGGCAAGGGCAGATGTCTTTCAACCAATCTCGATGACCCAGACGACCTGGCTTAGCATGACTTGCCGGGGCTTCTTGTAGGAAGCTGGTATGGCCGTTCTGACATACTGTGATGCCGTGAGCTTAGTCGCACAGGCGAAGCTACGCCGGCAAGAATAACTTCCGACCCCGCACGGCTTCTGAGAATCCATGCAGCCGCTTGTCTCTTTCAAACGCAACAGCGGAGCAACAGTGTCCATGTTACCTGCCAGACAATTCGGCGTTCGCCTCTGCTGAGCTCTGACTGCTTCCCAGGCCCTCCGGCAGGAGCTTATTCAAGGCATTCGCATTGGGGACACCGTGCAGATTCGATCGGCTCTGAATCGAGGACTGCTTGCTTGCAAGATCTTGCATGTGCAGTTTTCTATCGTGGATCACTGCGCGCCTCTTTGTAGGCGCATCGCTCTCGGCGCACTACTACTCCACAAGGATGCCCGCAAGGCCAGATCCTCCTCTACTTTCAACGGAGTGCTTGTCATGTTGCAGCTATGTTTCGGGACGGGGGATGACGGTTTTGCGGTAGATTATTGCCACTATTGATGTTGGGTGCTTTGGCTTGTGCCTGGCCTCATCTGGCTTGCAGTCTTTCACGCTCTGGTGTGCTGCCAAACAAGACAAGAAGTGAATCAATGCTTCATGTGACGATGTGCTTTGCCTTGCAGGCCGTCCGTGCCGCTTCATGGCACACCGAAGGGCCCAACAACGAGTTTGGTGAATCCAGTTGACTGGGCGGTGCTTGAAGGCCGCTACAAGGAGTGCATGCCGCCGTTGCGACAATTTCAATTCCGGGAAACGCTTGCCTCGGCATAACGATTCTTCCGGGCAGAGTCGCAATATGGATGTGACAAGAGATTGATTCGATCAGTTCTTAGCCGTTACATTTACATGTGCCAGTAGCAAGTTTTTGATGAGTGGGCAATGCAAGTGTCAACAACGCACCGTGACCGACAGACATGACTGCTTGTGAACAGTGGGAAAGAGACCACTGCTTCACAAGGGTTGCAGCGGCTGGAAGCTCACAGGAGGCAATGTACCTCATGGAGCTGACCGATGGCCACATGGTTTTCAATCGCGACGAGGAGCGGAGCTGCTTGCAGGCCGATGGCACAGAAAGCTTGCCGTGCTCATCGGTGCTCACGTTGTTGTCTCGCGTCCAAGCTGGAGCAGGTTGTGCAGATGGCCCAGCGCAGCAAGCAGGCGGTCGTGGTTGCATCTCAACGAGGTTCCTTGGCTGCTTGAATCCACGGGACATCTTTCCTCGCGGTATTTCTTGCTGCCCAGGCCAGGCATCTTTGCTGCAGATGCTTCTCGAGCGCACTGCCGACGTCGCGCAGCAGAACCTCTGGGGCGAAACGGCGTTGCATGTGGCCACGAGGGCTGGTCAGGAGGAGCGGGTTTGCAACTTCGCGCTGTGTTCCGCAGATATCGGGGGTCGTGTTTCAGGGAATTGAGTCAAAGGATTTCGCAGGAGATTGTACTTCGACGCAAGAACTGAGTATTTGGATCTATGTGGGGGCCGCACGAACAGGAGCCTGAGAGAGCGTGAAGTGAAGTGAAGTGAAGTGAAGTGAAGTGAAGTGAAGTGAAGTGAAGTGAAGCCCTAACAATCCGTCGGAGCGAACACCACACGGAAGGCCCAAAAGCCTCTTCCGTCAAAAACCTGACAGGGAGGGGTGCGCTTGGCGCGGGTCTGCAGACCTGGACCCGCTGGAAGGAAGGAAGGCAGGAGCGAGGGAGGAAGGAAGGAAGGAAGGAAGGAAGAGAAGCCCTGGCCCTGACGAAAGAAAAAAGAGGAGTTGGGGGAGGGCAGCCGCCGACCCCCTCTGGCCTGGTATAGAACTTATGTAAGTAGCTCGGGCCTTAGTTTGTACAGTGGGGTTGCTGCAGGTACTGAGGACTTAGCCGTAGAGGGGGGACGAGGCCAGAGTTTCTGTTCGGAGTGGGCTTTGCAGCAACCTTCCTCTCCCAGTCAGACAGTCCATCGGGGCGAACACCGCGAAGCCCAAGAGAACAACACGGTGTGGTTTTGGCTGAAATGTAACTAGTACTGGTAAACCCCGTGAACAACAAGGCTGTGCTTCTGGTGCAGAGTGGGCGGACGTGTTTGTGGTAAGCCTTTCGATGCTCGAAGTGCTTTGAGAACATGCATACCCTACTGCAGCTGTAGCTGTCGGTTCGCCGAAGCTGCTCCAACATTAGTCGGGTTCTTAGGCAGTTCGACAACCTTCTTTTGCCGAGCCTGTGTTTTTGAATGGGGCCGGGCACGCTGCTGGTGCAGGGGTGACGAAGATTGAATCTCATGCCCAGGGAGTGAGGCCCCAGGACAAGAAGAAGGTTGAGACCCCATGTCGAGCGAGGAGGTGGTGTCCCTGCTCCTGCAGCACGGTGCATGGCAGAAGGAGCCGCGCAAGCGGGAGGTGCTCACGCACGCAGAGGCAACGCGATTGCCTTCTTACACAGGGCGGCATGTCACATGTCGCCCTACTGCAGGCCCAGAGGATGCAGCATGTGATCGTGGCCGCAGGAATTGGAGCTTTGTGATGCTGCCCAGATCGCTTTTGCGGTTGCGATGTACTCAGGAGTTTCAGCCGATTACACTGAGAGCATCCTCGATCGACAACTGCCTGGGTACCAGGAGGTGCAGCGGAAGCAGCCTGTCCGTTGGCCTCAGGGCAGACACCAGGTGACAGGTTGGAGACTCTGCCGACAGCTCGGGGAAGACTCGGCTCCAGGAGCCTCGCTCCAGAGAGTCTCGAGAGAGTCTGGAGGGCTGTCGCCGCGTGAGATTGTGTCATGCTGCGTGACTCGTGTGAAGTATAAGACCACTGCAGCCGTGGCTTCCTATGGCTGCAGAGACAACCGGAATTTGCACGGAAGATGTTCATGATGTGGAAGGCCTCTTGCACATAATCCTCAAAGCTATGCAGATCTTGCCAGGTGCTCCAAGCGCTGTCCGAGACAACCTGCAAGGCATGTGCAGGAAACTCCTTCGGGAACAGCACTTTGAGACATTGTGTCGCAGTGAGAGGCGGATCACGACTTCACCGTCGCCGCTATTCTCGATCTCGCTGGCGCTTCCAGGGCCAGGCCCAGGGGCTTGTCAGAGCGACGCGCCATGGGCCAAAGCCAAAGCTCCCACGGTTCTGCGCAGGTCCACCGTCTCGGGGACGGCTGTGCCGGCTGTGCACGTGGAGCGACCCACCTGGGGGCCAGCTGCCACGGTCGTAGAGGCGACGTCGCGACAGACACCGGCTGCGCATGGCTGCGCAGTTTTGCGGGGCAGCCTCCAAGGTCCGGCGAGAGCGGCTGGAGCTGCATGGCGATCTTGTCAAGGCCGTGCGAAAAGGCGACCTTTTTGCCGTGGCGTCGTTGGTGCAGTGGCTTGGCATCAACGTTGCCTGGCGCTCGAAGTGTCTACAACCCCCCTGCCATCTATTCCTGCAAGGCGCGGAGCACAGCTGGATCTGAGCTTCAACTTGGGATACGGTGAGGCAGGCAATTGTCCCTCGGTCGCCGAAACCGTAACGGTAACTGGTCGCCGCAGCCCAGCCGCATGCGCTAAGGCATCGACTGGGCCGTGTGCTGTGAGCGGCCTTTGGTCGCCTTGAAGCTCCTGGAGCTGGCGACGGAGCAGAGCCCGAAACTGGCAGAGGCCCGCCGGCCCGCCCTTCGAAGTGACACACAGAGCCCGAGCGGCTCTCTTTTTCTTGCTGAGCCTGCGCAGGCTCTGGCAGGCAACGCTCGAGCAGCGCTCTTCTGGAGCGTTGTGCATGGCTATGCGGATGTCTTGGAAGGCTGTTCTATGTCGTGTCATGTTACGCGTCAGCCGTGGCTACTGCATGCCTTGTTTGTGCGCAGCGCTCCTCATCCGCGGGATCGACGTCGCCTTGAAGCAGCCTGCTGTTTTGGCTGGCCACGGGGGCTCCACGCCCCTGGCGCTGGCTGTGGCGAGCTACCGCCCCGGTGAAGCGAGCCACTGGGAAGACACAAAGGTTAAGGACACCCTTAGCCGCCTCAGCCCCCTTGGAGCGCTTAGCCGCCTGAGCCTGTAGCCTGAGGCCTGCTCCTGAAGCACGGGGCCTGGGAGAAGGAGCCGGCCGAGAAACGCCTCGAGCTGCTTCGCAAGGCACGCGCCGGGAAGTCTCCGTAACCAAAAGGTCTTTCGGATTAGCGGAGCCTGGCGGAGCCTGGAGGTCCGTCTTCGTGGCGGCGCCATGGCTGCAGCCTTTGCGGCTGCAGGCACACGGCGCCTTGCGGCAACATACTTTCACCAGTGGTTGAAGTTCTGCAGAGATCCAATGCTGTTGACTGAACGACTTGGTGGAAGCCGGGAGGCGTCGGCTTTGATGCTGCCAGCTGATGCCGCAAGGCAGGTGAGCCGGCGGAAACCCCGTGGCAGTGGAGCATAGCCGTGCACTGCGCTGTTAAACAGTGCAGTGCAGTGCCAGGGCTGCGAGGAGAGTCGGTCGGCCAAAGTTTGCCGCGCTTTCGCCTCCTCAAAGCCTGCGAGCGAGACGGTTTGTTGCCCGAGGCAACAGGGAGCTGTCGCTCAGAGAACAGCGTGCCACGCTTGCTGAAGCCGTCCCATGACGAGAAACACGGCTTCCAGCAAACAAATCCATGCCGAAAATCTGGTCCATTCCCCCGAGGATCCGAAGACTCGTGAGCTGCGCGAAGCGCGAGGTCTGCCGGCTGTCTCCTCGTGGTCTCCTGGTGGTCGTGGTCGTCGCCTAGTGATCGTGGGTCGTCATGGTCGTGCTCTTGCACTGCTTGGGGATTCACGTTGTTTTGACGAATCATAGATGTTTTTGATACATCCTTAACCTGTCCCTCGCCCTTGCAGCTGGACCTGCTGAAGTTGGGTTTTGCTCTTTTCCGGTCGCTGATTTGTACGCTTTCTCGCTCGAGCAGGCCGGGCAGGCCGGGCTGTGCTTCGAGACCCCGAGGCAGAGACCTTTGCAAGTTTGCCTCGACGGCATGTCGAGAAAGCTGCTATGATCTGCTATGGCTTGCTCTGGAATGACAGCTCGCTGTCCCGCCTCCTTCCCCCTCGATCTTTCAAGCTCCGTGACCCTCGTAACCGTCTCTAACTCAAGTTCCCCTCTCCGCTTGCGGTCTTGATACGCGCCAAGATGTCATTGACGAAGGCGATGCTTGGGGCTTCAAATTGTGGCGAGTCGACCCGGATGCCCCATGCGGTGATGGCAATTCCTGCTGTGCCGAGCAGTTGGACAGGGCGCGGAACCAAGACATGTCGCACGTCTGTGGGCGCTGTCCTGACGTCGTGCAAAAGACTCCCATCTCTTAGCAAGCTCAGGCATTTTGCACAGCTCCAAGAAGAGGCGGAGGAGGAGGAGGAGGACTTGCCCTGGTCTCTCGCCGAGAAAAGCTCCCAGCGCGAAATCCTCGGACACGTGCGATCTCCCCAAGGTTCCACAGCCCCAGGCACCCTGGAAGCAAGCGGAGCCTGTCACGGCCTTAATGCTGAGAGTGCACCAGATCGAGTGTCTTTGTTCTTACAGACCCGCAAAGAAGCGTTCTGTAGAACTATGTGAATGACAGAGTTTTTCTTCCGTGGTGGTGCTCAGGAGCCACGAGGATGTCTTCAGAGAAGTGTTTCCAGACACCTGGTTTGCGCCTGCATGGAATTAAATGATTGCAAGAGGGCCAAGCAGAGGGCTGCTGGGAGCGATGCCCTGAAGTTCAACTGAGAGGACTCCCCGAATTTGTGCGCTCAGCCAAGAAAGGGAGGGCAGCTGGTGAGCCTTGGTACTGGCCGTGCGCAGACTGCGGAGCTGTCACGATTCAATCAGCACGTCATGGGTCAGGAGGATGTTTGTCGAGTTGGATGTGGCCCAAGCCAGAAATAACATCTCCAGCACGGAAGGGAGCAGCATTGTGAACAGAACAGTCACGACAACTAGATTGGTCGCCATGTGGCAACTTTGCCCATGAAGGTTATCTGACCTCGCGTGCAGCAAAGCGTGCTGCCGCGAGAAGTGAACGACGTCGCTGCTGCAAGTGCAAGGTGCACACGTTCTGTTGGAAACTTGTGTATTCAATACAAAGCTCTGATAGGTGCGAATGCCGGGTTCTCAGCAAGGACAATCGCAAGATGGAGAACACCAGCAGTCTTCGGCAAGCTTCGGGTTTTCAGAAAGTTTTTGCAGACGGTGTTTAGTGGAGGCTCAATGTGGCCGTGGCCGTCGCCGGAGGCCACCTTCTTCGGGAGACCCTGGACCAGGCGCAGACGGCGCCGAAAGCCAAGATGCTCTCGGGATGCGCCGGCAAACGCGAGATCCAATTTTCCCCCTGCCGACAGCAACAAGCATGTGTACACCCGCAGTGCTTTCTGGTAGAGTGTCTCAGACAGGGCAGAAACATCAGAAACATGAGCACCAGAATAGAGCCGTGGATGGGCGCGGCCTGCTGATCGATCTCCGAATTATGTGGCCTGGCTTGTCAGCCCTTAAAACCAGATGAATCAGAAAGTTGAGGCCCATTCACACAATGCAATTGATGACTTGATTTCGGCTTCATGTGAGAGGCGACTCAATGAACACACTCGGCTCGCCGGAATCTGGACGGCAGCTGTCAAAAGGTTTCTATCTGGAGCGCATTGTGCGAATCTACCAAGGCGAAGTGTGCCTGTTGGTTCCCTACGAGAAGTCTATGGTTCCCACGTACCACGAGTGGATGCAGGACCCGGTGACCCGGAGCCGGGAACTCTGCGAGGCCGGGCTTGTCGCGTAGCGAGGACCCGGAGCTCTTGGACCTCACGGGCTCCGAGCCGCTGACCTTGGAGGAGGCAGTCAGAACCAAAGTTGAGGCCAAAACTGCTGGGGTTTCCTGGAGCCAAGGAGTACCAGATGCAGCAGACCTGGCGCGACAGCGAGGACCGCCGCGCAGGTCTGTAAGAGAGCTTAAGAGGGATTTTGTGAAAGCAGTGGACTGAGTTCCGAGGACAAGCTGACCTTCATCGTACTGGATCGCAGCCTTCCCGCGGATCCGGCACTGGGCCTCGCAGACGGAGCAGGAGCCATGGTTGGAGATGTGAACGTCTTCTTCTCCAAGGCCTGCGGCCTGCGGTCCGAAGCGGATGCATGGACAAAGAGTTGATGCGTTGTAAAACAAAAAACAGGCTGGCCTGGTCGAGGGCGAGGAGGAGCTAGGTCTGTACGAGGCTGGCGAGATTGAGGCTGGGAGGGACGGTGCAAGCCTGGGCCAGTCCAGCATGGCAGCTCCTCGGTCGCGACTCGCGCCCTTTTATGCCCTGTGAGTCAGGTCATGATTGCTTCGAGCTCCTCACGGCGACGTGGGTTGGCTAAGGAGGCCTTGTCCTTGCTGCAGGCCAGGGCTAGCGGCCCTAGTGTAGCGGCCCCCTGAATAGTTGCATTTCTGTTCCTGTATTAGCAGGCTTACTGCATCGAGCACCTCAAAACGAAACACTTCGTGGCAAAGATAAAGGACCGACTGTGTGTCCTCTCCCGTCACTTTCTGCGAGTATGCTTGCTAGGACCACAACGCACCTTCCGTCGCCCTCTTCGAGCGGCTGGGCTACCGCTTCATGAAGCACGTGGAGGTCTTCCACGAGCTCGTGTATCAGCCGCTGGGACTTGGACTTGACGTGCAAAATACCCCCGCAGAGCCGCATACACTGCCAAGAGTCAGCGATGTTGTTTGGTCCACACAGTCTTCGTGCTTGGAGGTTAGACGTACTTCCAGATGGAAGTAAGGCTGACGAGAGTCAATGCCTGCTGCTCTCCTCAAATCGGTTTGGGAGCAGGGCGCAGGGCTGTGCCGCACACGGGTGTTCTTAAGTGGTGCCTCCTGGACGAGAGAGCGACTGAGGCGGAATGCTCCTTCATGACGAGTGTGGCTCCGGGTGACCAAGCCTGACCTTGACCTCTTGTCCGCCTGAGCTATTCCCTCTGGCAGATGACGGATTGATGGCAGAATTCCGAGAGACGATCCTTTGCATTTGCCATGTTCGGGGATGGCCACGACATCGCGGAAAGGATCTGCAGTGAACGTGCAGGATCTCTTGCTGGCGGATCGGGTGCACACGACGAGATGAAGCACGCTGGCTACAGGTAGTCTTTTCAGGCTTTTCAACAACACGGTTTCGAGACGAATGTCACGACGGGATTTGCCAAAGCTTGCATGCGAAGCTGAGAGTTTGGGACAACAGGCAGAGAAAAAGGGGCTCCTCAATGGTCTCAGTCAGCTTGCACGTGCAGGGATGTACCTGTAGAGCGTGTTTGCTGCCCCACGGCAGCATGCGTGCACGGGAGGTGCAGGTGCCACAACTGCGTCAAAATCCTGGGCAGATAGCCTGCAAGCTCTTCGTGCGGGTGCTCTTGCTGAGTCAGGGAGTGACCGCAAGAGAGACTCAGAGTCAGAGCATGTCAGAGCGAGTCAGGTCCTCTCTGCTTCTCTCCCCGGGCTGCCCGAGCCTGGAGTGATTTCGAGGTCTCGCCCAGAGCTTAGCTTTCGCAGTCTCTCTTTGACCTTTCCAGTATGTGCTTCTGAAAGGTCCTTACCTTGAAGTCAACCTGGGCTCCGTGCAGAAGGCAGAGCCCGGTGTGGCAGAAGCGAGTGTCTCTCCCGTTTTGCAAGGACACAGAGCCAGCAGATTTCAGTCCCTCCTCGTCCTCATCTTCTTCGAAGGAGGAGCTGGCGTGTCAAGCTCCACCAAGCCCTTTGCAGACTGATATTGTGTATCACATGATGGGTGTCCAAGAAAAAGAGCGGCGGTCAAACTTGTGCCGAAGTTCGCAGCCGGGAAGGATTGACCCCTAAGTACCATAGCAAAGTCAGCTGAAGGAGATAGAGTCGCCTTGGCGGTTCGATGAGATGCTGACCTTCACGGTTAAGGTGGAGGCGACAGTGAGCCGACATTGCGCGGTCTGCATGCGTTCGTCGCATCTGCTTTCCCGTGAGAGAGCCCTCAGCGGGAACGTGACAGGATCTTCTGGGGCCCGGGTTGAAGCTCCGGCTCCGTGTGCTCAACGAGACGCAGCCGCAGCCCCAACAAGGAGCAGCTGGAAAGCAAGGTACTTTTTCATTCTCGTTTCAGAGCGGCTCCGAAGTTCCGAGATGTTCCGAGGCTCGGGCCTTTCCAGTTCCAAGGGCGGCCGGCCGACGTGGGGGAGGCCACCACCGTGCGCGGGTGTCGCTGGAAGGGCCGAGAGAGTAGCCGACCGGTGAGCTCCTGCACAAATCACACTAAGCCGCAGCCTAAGCCTAAGAGTGTCCGACAGTTAAAAAAAAAAGGCCCCAAGAGACACACAGACACACACGTCGTCTGGTTTTCCACAGATTGGGTCAGAGAGTCTTCGAGGCGACCTTGGAGCTGCAGAGGCGGATCCTACCCTCGTGCCTGCAGCAGCCGCCGCTTCGCTTTTACGGTTTCGGGGTGGTGCAGCTTGAGATTTTTCCCGCCTGAGAGTTCAGCGATGTTCAGGGCCTGAGATCACCTAAAGATGGAGCATCCTTCCGAGCACTGCCCTCTCTAGCGACCGCATCTAAGACTCTGAGGCTGGAGTCAGACAAGCGGCGGTGTGTGTGGACCAGCCCCTTGATGCCGGCCATACCGGCAGACTTTCCACCGAGCTGATTTTCAAAGAATTTTCACCGCGTTCTTTCTCCATCCATATAAATCGAGTGGATCATAGATCAGAAGCTTTCAGCCCAAAGTTGTACGCTCTTACATCTGCATACACACTGCGACACATGAGACTTTCGCGTACGTCTATTTTTTTGGGTTCTGTGCAAGGAGAGCAGTAGGCTCCGAAACGAGCGTGTCAACCTTGGGCCAGCTCACGGATCGCATTGAAAAGAACACCGCGTTTCACTTCGCAGCACGCAAGGGTTCAAAGCTTTGTGCCAGGTTCCCTTAGCGCACATGCGCGGAGGACTCCTGGGGGCTGAGTGCAAGTTGGGGCAGGTGGGTACCCCCCACGAGCAGGCACTGCGCCACTGGGCATCATGTCTGCTGAGGCCGTGGCTCACGTCACGCTTCGCTTTACCGTGGACACAGATCCGGCCAGAGACTCAGGGGATGCTGCAGTCTCTTGGGGGATGATCGGATGCCCGTTTCCCGGACCTCTGCCTTCTCAAGGCTAAGTAAGCTTCTGCTTATGACCGTAACTTGAAGCCAAGCCTGGACCATGTTCAGAACACCTCCAGACGACATCTCTTTTGCCGTCGGCCGAAAACGCTTTTCATTTTCTGGGAGAGAGTTGGAAGTAGCCGGTCCTCCGTACAGGGAGCGTTGTGGGCTGTCAGGCCTGTCCCACGGCGCACCTGTGCACCGCCCCGCAGTTGAAATCAAACGCTTTGGCAGACAGAGGTTGAAGTCGGCTTGCTCTTCGCTCGGGGTCTGACGAGATCTAGCGTAGTGTAGGAAGATGTGTTGCGTGCAAGGACTACTTGCTGGATCTCGTGCGACCACAGACCCTCAATCTCGAGCAGAAGTTGCGGGAGCTGGGACGCAATTTGAACTTGAGCTTTGGGTCAGTTGCTGCGATTCGTGGGCTGATGGGTGGCAAAGATGTTCGCACGAAGTTGCTTGCAAGCCATGAGACTGGTGTATTCATGGCGTATTATGCAGGACAGTGCAGATGAAATGTCCAGATGGATCGAAAGCTTGCAGGGTCCTCAGTGTCAGTGTCCTGAGCACCAAAGCTGTCCGTAGGCGTTCTGTACTCCGTGCAGTCCTTTGTCTTTGTGCTTTGCACCTTGGCATGTGGATGTCGAGGGTCGAGATGCTCCCAAGCTCCAGTCATCCCAACCTCCGGGGCCAAGAGCCCGAAGGGAGCACTTCGTCGTGTAGCGATACGCTTTGTGACGAGCCGAGACTGCTCCTTTTCCTTCACATTGTAGCATTGCAGACGAAGCGACATCCGTGTGGTAGCTTAGAATCATGCATGGACTGTGAAGCAAGTCTCAGACCTGCGCCGCCCGCGTGCTGCTGTCAGCCTTCCTTCGACCAGGTGGGGAAGGTTTGCTCGCTTGCGGTTGCAGCCTTTTGCATGGACGATCACTTCTGGCGTGGGTTTCCGCTACTGTAGCTGCCCATCCGTATCGTGGACAGCGCGGGAACAAAGTCGAAAATTGCTTGCAGTTTCGCAGCTCTGCTTTCAACCCATGTTCCAACTTGGGAGGTGGATCCCTTGGATGTGGATGCTGTCGTGGGGCGAGCTGCGCTGCGTGCATGGTCCGGTGCCTATAATCGTTTTTTTTTCTCTTGAGTGCTGAAGATAAGGGCCCCTCGTTGGCTTTGGAGAACCCAACTCTCCTGGCCAGGACTGTCGCTGATGTGCAGAAGCCTTTGCCGGCTCCAGACCTCTCCCCCGAAAACTGGGTGAGCACAGTAGGCCAGGGAACCTGTGATGCTGCTTGTCTCGAAGTGTTCTCAACTGTGAGCGACACGTCAATGGAAGCGCCCACTGTCATGTCCAGCAACACGTGGGCCCCGCTCTCTCTCCTCTCTCCTGATGCAGGGCCCAACGGGCGGAGGTATTGGCATAATCTCGCACTGGGCCCGGCGCCTTGGGAGGAGTCGGAGGCTTCGCCGTCCTCGCCGCGGTCTCAGAGAGCCGCATCATAGCAGGTCGCGGCATTTCCGCAGAGCGCTGAGGCCCAGCCTTCCCAGCCCCGACGAGGTGCCTAGCGGCTGGATCTACCGGGAAGGCCTGAAGCGGAGCCTTGCGGAGCCTTGCGGATCCTTGCGTCGATCCTTGCGTCTCTCGTGTCTCGAGGTGCAGACGGCCGGCGGTTCTGGCACCACGCTGACCTGGGCAAGCTTCCCAGCTTTCGCAGCTTAAGGAAGCTAGAGCTCCGATGAACTGGACAGGCACAGATACTGGACGTCCCGACAAGCAGTAGCTCGTCGCTTTCTTGTTGGACAAAGACCACAAACTGATATCATCAGCACACCGCTGCGATAAGCAGGCAACAGAAGCTGAAGCACGATTGACGGCTTGACAGTTCTATTCAGCATTACTTACATCAATTAGTTGGGTGTGCTTGAGCAACTGCCATCAGGAAGTACAGAGTAGACGCAAGCTGCGCACGAGACAGTCTCTTTCCAGTGCCGGCCTTCTTCGAGCAGAAAAATGTAGTTGTCTGCGCTTGCAAGAAAATCCCGGAAGCGTCTCAAAAGGTGATCTTCAGTCGACAATATATGTCTCCTTCCTCATTTCTGTGACGTACATGGCTGTCGCTAGTTTGACCAGTATGCTTTTCTCGTCTCTCATCATGACATGGTTGCCGATGGTCGTTGGTCATCGTCCGAAGTCATGCCAAGACGCGTTTCGTTTTGCATCGCCTCCGTCTTGTGGGCAGAGGCCCTCCGCCCTGGGAGCTTCCCGCTGCGCAGGCAAGGCTTTAGCTCTGAATCTCCGGGCAAATGCGAGGTTTTCGGGGTCTGGGGCCTGGGGGCTGTGGGGGTGAGGATACGTTTGCAGTTTGTCGCAGGCTTCCGAAGGACCTGCGAACGGCGGAGGCAAGTTAGATGTCCAGCTATCAATGTGATGCTCGGCTCTCGCCAGGCCAGTTTGAAGTGACCGTCTAGCTGGCTGTCAGAGGCGCAGGGTGACGCAAAAGGAAAGGGAATGCTGAGCAGAGAGCGGTCAGAGCCAGGAGTTCAGCCGCGGCTCGGCCGGAGGTCTGCCGCGTCAGGGCCTCTCAGAATCTTTCAGATTTTTGCAGAAATTACAGTCTCTCCGAGTCCGAGTTCGTGAGGCCCGCCGGGCTCATGGACTCGGGCGGCTCTCCACAAGTGGGGCCCGTGCCCGGCATCGAATCGCGTCGCGTGTCGGCGCGCGAAAGAGTCCCAGGCTCCCACCCTCACCGAGTGAGTTGCTGGTAATAGTGTGTACGGGTACTCGTAACGCAGAGCATCAGCTTGGCAGCGCAGCCGGCTCAAAGCAGGAGTCCAGGATGGGCACTAGTGCTCTGACAGACTGTCTCATGACTCTTCGCTTTTGCTGTACTGATCGTGGCTGGCATGGCTAACAACACGACGACGACACCACCGGTGTCACCGTGCAGCACGATTCAGTCGCCGGAGGATTGCGAAGCTGCTTGTACCGCCGTTTACGCGAGCCCTGACCACCTGTGGAGAGACCCCAGCCTCGAGGGAGTACTGCTCGGCAGATGGCGCCTCGAACACCTCGTGCTGCGAAGGTCAAGCTCCGACAATCACGACGACAACGCAGGGTTCACTCCTGCTGGGTGCACCAGTGTCATGTAGCACGATTCATTCAAAGGAGGATTGCCAAGCTGCTTGCACTGCCACTTACGCGAGCCCAAGCAACCAGTACATCTCTCTGACCATAGGCGGAGTCGTCCAGATGGACTGTTCGCAAGATGGCACCTCGGAAACGTCGTGCTGCGTAGATGACTCCTCGAGTGAGCCATCATCTGTCACCGGTCTAGCAACAACGCTGGCCCTGGTGAGTTTGTACCTTCTGTAGCCTCCGCCGTCGGCCGATTCACCCCAACCCTGACCCCCCAAAAAACGGGAATGTCAGGGTTTCGTGGGTCTCTTTACCCCAAACCTGCGAGTTCTTTGCTTGGAAATCTTCAAGCTCTCGGTGCTGTAAGAGATATCGACCGTCCTTTCGCCAGCCTCAGCAGCTGAGCGTTCGAACCAGAGTATGCCAAAACAGGCTTGGTGGTGCATGCGAGAGTCATCAGCTTTCCCTAGCAGTGCCGTCGTGCAGTCAATTTGGGCTTTGCAGCGTCCACCGGAGGGTAGCTCGGGACCGCGCCAGCCGCGCCCTCTGCCTCTCTCTGCCCGGCTTGAAGTGTCCCACAGTGGTTTCGGCTGCCATGTTGGACATGTGGAAGCTTGCAGGCACCATGGCGGCGATGGAGTGGCATCCCGCATTCAAGACGTGTGCCATGCATGCTTCATGCTCGGCCTTAATCTGCTCCCGTCGGAGAAGGCTGAGAGTCTAGATTCTGGATCCACGTTGCTCCGCAGCGTTTTTGGCTGAGCCGTTTGCTACGAAGCCTTCCATGTTGCCACACAAACCGCTGCTCGATACGGTTCTCCTTGACTGATAGACAGACATTGTCCTGTGATAAAGGGCCAGGTGAGACATCGAACAAAGTTACCGGTAGGTAAGGCGAAGACGTGTGCCCAACAAAGACACCTCGGACATCGGAACTCACGGGAAACCTTCAAGCCTTAGGGCGATTCGGCGATGCATCCTGGAAGCAATGCGGAAGTACAGAGGCTGCGCAGCAGCCATGGCACATCATGGCACTGTACGGCACATGGACTTTACGGACCGGTTTAGCAGCCAGGCCAGGTTCTCGTGCCCTATGCCAAACGGACAAAGCCGGACGATGATGGGGAGGAGATTATCAGGTGGATCCCCAGCTCTGCGTACAGTACCCCCAATTGTCTCACTTCCCGAGGCATGACAGGATGCCTGAGGATACCCCGATGGAGCTTGTTGATGACGTGAAGGCCCGGACCACTGAGTCAGAGTCGACGTCCAGTCGACTCAGAACAGAGGTGCGGCTCATGCTTGAACAAGACGGCCTCCGGCTCCAGGCATCGAGTCGAGCCCCAGTTTTTTCAGTGAATCAATTTGCCAAGCTTTTGAGAGGACATGCCCAGGGTCGTTCGTGCTCATCCGAAATATGTGGAGGTGGGCTTTTGCATCCTTGCTTGAAGCATCGCGGCCGCTGAAGCGAGCTTACATCCATGCACTGTCGCACATCATTCGAGCAACGCTTAAACTAAAGGGAAAACTACCAGTAGAAGGGCTGTGTGTTTTTTCATGTGGGCGCAGGTCGCCGTTCGGCAGAATGGCTTCGCCATCGCATTCGCCAGTCCCGAACTGCAGGAGGGACGATTGCGTGAAGCCGGGACTTTCGGATTTCGCAATCGCAAAAGATTTGTACACGTACAATTCCGTACAATGCAAGCTTGCGTCCTCTTCGAGGGGTGTTGCTTCGACGCTACTCACTAGTTACACTAGTTAGTGTGGAAAGTTGCAGCGGATGATCCTCTTCGACTAGTGCCAAGACCGAGACCCCCAAGACAGGTGAATGTGCCGATCATCGAGGCCGCCTTGACTCAATCTGGCGAAACACTGGAACTGCTTGCAGACGAGTTCCGGGCACAAGAGGCGAAGGGATCCGTGAGTACTCAACAGACATGCTTGGGCGAAGTTCTTGCCTTGAGGAGCTTGTCCTGGCAGCTGTGCACCAAAATGGCTGCAGCCTTCAGTTTGCTTCTGCTGAGCTTCGAGCTGATCCTGATCTTTGCCTCGAGGTCAGCTGCGCAGTTGTTCCCCTTTGAGCCCCTCTGAGCCCCTCAGAGCGCTTGCTGTCAGGGAACTCGTAGCAGCTAACTGGGAGTGGGAGGAAGCGGTGTAGCGGCAGGAGAGGCGCTGGGACAGGAAGCGCAAGGAAAGCAACAGGAAGAAAGACGGAGCTGGAAACAGGACGATGCATGGCACTATGTCTCTTTCACAGGGAGGCGGCACAAGCGAGGCATCCACTGCGCGGGGATGACGGCAGGTAGCTGGATCGCTGTTGTCGGCCTGAAGTTTTCACCATCCTTGCTTGACCTTTGTTGTATTCGTTTTGGTCGGTCAGGCCGTCGGGCAAAACTGGCAAGCCATCGAGTCGCGTAGCTGCACTAATGTCAGAGACGACACACGAAGGGGCAGCCAGAACCTTTTGACCTTCATGGCGAGCAATCGCAGAGTCCTGTCATCTTGATTGCAGGTACTGCGATCCCGTGCTGTACACCAACAGGGATTTCATGTCAAAGGCTGCACGACGTTTTGCAAGTGCCGGTTTGCCCGACGTGCATGCCATGTATGACGAGAGGCTGTCACTGCGAGCTGGCGCTGTCTCTCCTTCGCCCACCCGGACCTCTGCAACGACAGAGCAGTGGTACAGGTTGCCCTCAGGCTCGGAGCGGAGAGATCAGCCTAAGCTGTTCAATGTGCACATGGTGGCTTCAGGGGCGAGAGTAAGAAAGATAACAACAGTCCACAATGGCAGAAGCAGCCCCGGACACACTCTACTTGGATCGTTGGCCGCTTGCTGCCTAACATTCAACCTAGTGTTCTATCTATGGCGACGCCCGGAATGAAGGGCTGGGGGTAGGAAGAGAGTCAGAAGCGCATCTGTGCAGCATCCCAAAAAGTTTATACAAACGTCAAGATTGGTCTTCTTCGCGTCAGCTGGGACTCGGTGCGCGACTGTGTGCGTCAGTGACATTGTGGGATTGTTCATGTGCTAGCTGATGCGTCAGGTGAAGTGCTTGTCAACTTGTGCTGTGTGAAACACTGGGAAATCCGCAACACGTCAGTTGACAGCCGAAAATGTCTATGCGTCAGCTCCTCTGCAGTGCGCGGCAGCCGCGCGACAAGACTTGGCGCGAGCAGCCCATTTTAGAAGGGTTTTGAGTACCGCTCATCTTGATGCGACCTCTAATTTTGCCGGTGCTAGTAAAGTTTGTTTACGCTAAGTGGGTGATGCCAGGCAGCACCAAGCAGAAGCTACCACATATACACGACAAACTCAACGCCAAGACTAATTCATTTTTATGTCTGGAGAGTTTCAGATGTCCATGCTTCTTTGTTTGTATGTTGTTTTCTGCTGCAGCTGCTGACGTTGTTGCTGGCGTTGGCATTCCCGCCATCGACATGCATCGCAGGCAGAGCTGGCTGGCCTTGGCCCACGCCAGCGAGTTCTTGCGAAGGGACCGGAGTTTGGTGGAGGAGGCCTTGGACCGCGGCGCATGGCAGGCGCGGGACGGAACGGGACTCTCTGCTTTTTGACATTCTGACATCCTCACTCGCTGCCCTTCCTGCAGGTCATGCTCCACACGGATGCAGCCCTTCAGAACGACCCCGCTCGTTGGATGCCTGTGCTGTCAGACTGTCATGGCGTGCACGACCCCGCAATGCATCGGCGCAATAAGATCCTTGCCGGAAGGATCGCAGCCTCGTGCTGAAAGCGCTGAGAAGATCCGGGCACGCGCTGCAATGTGCGTCGCCGCAGCTGCAGGATGACGAAGAGCTGGTGCGCCCGGGCCCGGCTTGGGAGCCGTGCTGAGATCTTCCGCTTCGTGCCGCGCAAGCAATGAGCCAGGTGAGGGAAGCCTCTCAACGTGAGCCGCTAGCGCTGGAGCCGCATGCTTAGGATCAGGCACTTTGTGCCGTCATCGGCGCTCCATGTCTGTGCCGTCAGCGCACTCCGTGCCGTTTGCGCCCAGGCATGCTTCGGAGCGGCTTCGCGATCGTGAGGAGACATCGGAGTCGCAAGCCGATAGAAGCGGAGACGCAAGCCGATCATCGAGGACCTGGTCCTGCCGGCGCTCCGGATGGATCGCTGTGCGCTGAGCTATGCCTCTGAGCGATTGAAAGGCACGCCGGGAGTGAAGAATCCTCCAGCAAGCCTCTTCAACTGCGATTGCCCTCCAGGGGACTCCGATTTCATCATGCGCTGCGTCCAGAGCCGCTTGCCTCAGAGCTTCTCCTCGTGTGTGCATGTTTCGCCTTGCTGAGTCAATGGGATGTCCGTGGAATTTGCTTCGGATGCTCTCCGGGCTGCTTGGCAGACAAAATGTGTCAACAGGCGATGCAACATGTGATAATCCGGTGAAGGCGAACGAAGACATACTGCTGGCCGCAGTTAGCCGTGCCCTCAGTCGCTCACGGCACGTCATGTGAACTCGACGGATCTCTTAGAAAGTGACATGCTGAGAACAAGACTGGCGCGCGGTGAACTTCGCGCCTTCTGACCTACAGAGCAAACTGACCTGAAGGGCTCAAATGCGCTTCGTGGTGAGAAAGCCACAACTCGAGATCCCAGCTCGCCCAGCTTTTGAAGGCGTCGCCGAAGGCGCGCCGGCCACAGTTGGGCACCTCGCTCTCGGAACATCTCTTCTGTGCCAAAGTTATGCAGGTGCAACTGCATATCGCACGAGAAGAGACACGATCCGTCACGGCACGCTGTGTAGATGAGATTTGTCCCTGTCCGTTCATGCGTTCGAGAAGCAAAAGCTATTGGTGCTATCACTGCTTTTCACCCGAGAGTTGCTCATCTACTCTGTACAGTAGTGTCTCGCACATCCGCGCTGCATCGGGTGAGCCTTGGTGACTCCGTGGCAGGTTTGATGCTATGGATGGCAGTGGAGCAAGTTGGTGGGAGCCTTGGAGATCCCAGGAGTTTCCCCCAGGAGTTTCCGAGAGCGGTGAGGCGAACGAGCTCGCTGTCGCATCCCAGCCTCCGCCGGAAGAAGCTCGATGCCAGTTACGGCCGGGAAGGGGAACGCTGTCATCTCTACGACGCGATGCCACAGCTTGGATTTAAGAGAGCTGCAGATCACTTTCCATTAGTCAAGCACGTCACAAGACGCACAAACCCCGTCCCCGCCCGCATTCAGCTTCTCCGAACAGCATCGCAAGCCGGATAGCTCACTGATGGACTTGAGTTTCCGAGTTTTCCACAGGGACTTGGACCTGGACTTCTTGACGAAAGGGTGTAGGAACGTCTTTTCGATTGCTACTCCTTTGCAGATTTCGGAGCATGGAGTACATCCTACTCGGGAAGCTCACGTTCGCCAGAGGCCGCGCCATGCACAGTTTCCACTGCTGTAGCATTGCAGGTCATCGCGAAAATACCACGCAGTCTATGCCACTGTCTCCCAAGGAGCATCGAGAGTCTAGAGTCTGGCTTCTTCAGGAAACCCGGACCAAGACAAGAATATATAAACGGTATGAGCATTTTGACATGCCGGTCGTGACTTGGCTCAATCTGCTAGACTTAGATTAGTTAGTCGTTTGGGCGAAGTTGGAAGCTTAGCAGCCGAGCATCATAGGAGGCTTTCTTTGCCTCTTCGTCTGCGTCGAGGTTCCAGGCATGGCCAAACAGGGATGGATCCTGCGAGCTTTGTCAACTGTCACATCCAGAAGTCTCGCACTTAGCCTGAGCGTCGTGTTGAGCTGGTGGTAGTTCCCCCGTCTATATGAGGTAGGAAGAAGAGCGCGGGCTCTTGCGCGGACATCGAAGAGGATGATGAGGAGAAGGCGGAGGCATGGCATGTGTTGTTGTTATCTTTTTGGGATTTCTCACTTTGGTTCGCCTCCTCTGCAGGAACCACGGAGCGTGCCCTGCCTGCCTTCTGCACCTTCTTCTGCGCTCTTTGCACAGGCGCCCGCTTTGCATCACAGTATCGCATCGTCCCTACGCCTGGTCGCAGGATGCATTCAGCATGCCTTCGGTGGGAGGCTGCGTAAACATCCAGCATCCCCACAGCCCCTCGACTGCAAAGCCCACGTGCGCTAATGAGACCAGGTTCGCACGATTCCACAGCGACTGGAAGTCGGCATGAACCTAAGGTAAGAATTTGCTGCCCGAGGAGGTTGCAGGCACCTCAGTTTACATTTCTCAAGGCCCTCAGTTGTATCAAGCCTTGCAGCTCTTAAACATTCTTCCGCAGAAAGTCAGAGCATCTTATGCAATCGAGGTCCTTTTCGAGCCTTCGGTGGAAGAGATCTTTGCGGATCGCACAGGCATTGAGCGAGAGCCCGGAAGCGAGACAGAAGTCCCAATGCTCAGCTGTTGAGGACCTCGCGGGACGCGGCTGATCTTCCTCAACACGCCGCTCTCGGAAGCTGAGGTGGGCCTTGAACCGGGTGGCCACAGCGCATGAAACAAGCAACTTAGGTTAGATTCCTGTGTACTTCCAGCTGGCACAGACTCGTGACACCGTGACTCCGTCTTAGTAGTATTAGTCGCAGATGCTAGCGGTAGCAGACGCAGTAGCAGTCGTCGTCGTAGTCCTCGCGGTAGTCGTAGTGTAGAAGTAATAGTAGTAGTAGTAGTAGTAGTAGTAGTAGTAGTAGTAGTAGTAGCCGAGGAGGTAGAAGTAGAAGAAGTAGAAGTGGAAGTAGAAGTAGAAGTAGAACTAGTAGTAATAGTCGTAGTCGTCGTCGTAGTAGTCGTCG